CCAGAAACATCTGATTTTGCCCTAATTTGGCAATGGTTAACCTCTGACAATTTTGGATTTTTCATACAAATCTGATTTTTCCCAATTTTGCTAAAAATGCAGGGTTAACCCCTTACAATCTGACATTTTTCATTTTGCCCTATTTTGCTAAAAAATGCAAGGTTCACCCCTTACAATTTGATATTTTTCATTCACATCTTATTTTGCCAAATTTCACTAAAAAAGCAAGGTTAACCCCTTACAATCTGAAATTTTCCCGAAATATCTGATTTTGCCCAATTTCGCTAAAAATACAAGGTTCACCCCTTACAATTTGATATTTTTCATAAACATCTAACTTTGCCAAATTTCACTAAAAAAGCAAGGATAATCTCTTACATCTGAAATTTCCCAGAAACATCTGATTTTTCCTAAAATGTAAGGTTAACCCCTTACAATTTGAAAGTTTCGATAAACATCTGATTTTGCCCTATTTTGCTAAAAAAAAAATGCAATCTTAACCCCTTACGATTTGAAATTTTTCATAAACATCTAATTTTAACCACATTTCTCTAAAGAAAAAAGTAAGGTTAATTCCTTACATCGGAATTGTTTTCAGAAACATCTGATTTTGCCCAATTTTGCTAATATGCTCACCCCTTACAATTTGAGATTTTTCATAAAAATCTGATATTGCCCAGTTTTGCGAAAAATGCAAGGTTAACCCCTTTCAATCTGCAATTTTCCAGAAACATCTGATTTTGCCCTAATTTGGCAAAGGTTAACCCCTTACAATTTTTGATTTTTCATACAAATCTGATTTTTCCCAATTTTGCTAAAAATGCAAGGTGAACCCTGAAATTTTTCATGAACACCTGGTTTTGCCGTATTTTGCTAAAAAATGCAAGGTTAACCCCTAACAATTTGAAATTTTTTATGCACATTAAAATTTGCCCAATTTTACTAAAAAAGCAAGGTTAACCCCCTTACATCTGAAATTTTTCAGAAACATCTGATTTTGCCCAATTTTGCTAAAAATGCAAGGTTCACCCCTTACAATTTGAGATTTTTCATAACAATCTGATATTGCCGAGTTTTGCTAAAAATGCAAGGTTAACCTCTTTCAATCTGCAATTTTCCAGAAACATCTGATTTTGCCTTAATTGGGCAAGGGTTAACCTCTTACAATTTTTGATTTTTCATACAAATCTGATTTTTCCCAATTTTGCTAAAAATGCAAGGTGAACCCCTTACAATTTGAAATTTTTGATTCACATCTTATTTTGCAAAATATCACTAAAAAAGCAAGGTTAACCCCTTACAATTTGAAATTTTTCATTCACATCTTATTTTGCCAAATATCATTTAAAAAAAAGCAAGGTTAACCCGTTACAATCTGAAATTTTCCAGAAAGATCTGATATTGCCCAGTTATGCTAAAAATGCCACGTTAACCCCTTACAATCTGCAATTTTCAAGAAACATCTGATTTTTCCGAATTTCGCTTAAAAAAGCAAGGTTACCCCTTTCAATCTGCAATTTTCCAGAAAGGTTAACCCCTTACAATTTTTGATTTTTCATACATTTTGCCCAATTTTGCTAAAACTGCAAAGTTAACCCCTTACAATCTGAAATTTTCCATAAATACCTGATTTTGCCCTATTTTGCTAAAAAATGCAAAGTTAACCACTGACAATTGGAAATTTTTCATAAACATTTAAATTTGCCCAATTTAACTAAAAAAGCAAGGTTAACCATTTACAATTTGAAATTTTTCATTCACATCTTATTTTGCCAAATATCACTAAAAAAGCAAGGTTAACCCCTTACAATCTGAAATTTTCTAGAAATATCTGATTTCGCCCAATTTCGCTAAAAATACAAGGTTCACCCCTCACAATTTGAGATTTTCCAGAAATATCTGGTTTTCCCAATTTTGCTAAAATGTAAGGTTAACCCCTTGCAAACTGTTAAATCAATACATGAAGTGTCCCATTTGACTTTTTTAAAACAAATTATTTTTCCAGTTTTTAGGGTAAAGGAATTTTCTCTTTTTCCTTTCTCTTTTGTTGTTGTTGCTATATTTTGCGAATTAACTCATTGTATGAAATGCTCATAGTACATCAAAGAATATTTCACACATAGGGACCTAAATTATATATTTTTTTAAATTTAATAGAGACGCATTGATCGTGCTATTATATACCATTCTATTACTATGGCGAATTACTGTATTGTTTGGAATGCTTACACGTTATTTGAAAGATGTATAAATAATATTTATATTACAATGTACATCTTTATTCTTTCCCGGTATAATTTATGGCGTTTCTTACGTCAATTGGCAATCGCGTCATTATATAATGATAGTCAAATTGATCAAACGAAACTCCGTTTTGATTATAGTCAATTATGAAATATTCATTGATTTATGAGATACACCTTTGTTTCAATTTTGATACTACCCGTAGACCTGCCGAGCAGCTGTAGATATCAAACTAAACCAAAGTATAAAAGATAGAGGGTAAAAAAATCAAAAAGTTATGTGCTAGTCAAGCTTTCAGGGATCGGTCTGAGCCATAACAATGCCCCAGCCGATCCCTTAGTTCTCTTCCGGGGTCTCGGCGTCCCCGACCAATACACACTTCCTTCCCTATCCATCCATATAACCCCGGTGAGCCAGGCACCATGTAAAAGCAAAGAGCTAAGGGAGGAACAGGGCGGCCCCTAAGCCCTGATCCTCCGAGTGGACCACATGCCCTGAACCTGTACGAAGGCGCCAACCTGGAACTCGCGGACAGTACCAGCAGCAGTGCTTACCGATTAAGCTAAGGTACTGTTGGTACTTTACGACAGGAAATTAAATCTCTTATAGTGAATAATTGAACTCATACGTTAAAAACCAAAAAGACACCAGCGGGATTCGAACCCGGGACCCCGCTAACCGTGGACGACGAATCGTAACCACTCGGCCATTTCGTTACCTTAGAATTTTCCTTAAACCGAGAAAAGTTGTCTTTATAGGTGAGCAAACGCGCCAGGAAGATTACTGGGTCCATTTGCTTCACCTTAATGGGTAAAAACAAGTCAATATAATGAGCCCAGTATGTTTGGTTTGTTAGGAAGCTGCTTAACACAGCCTAATGTGCAAAACAGTCGTGTGCTAGGCGGATCATTACGCAACAATGAACACCGCAATTGTGTATTTTCAAAAGGCAGACGCGTAGATTTCTACTCTTTGTATCTGGGCACATATAGATTCTCACCTCCCTCTTCAGCTATTTCGACTTTCTTAAAAAGAAAAATAGAGACTGTCAGTGAATCTCCGGGAGTTGAAATAAGGATGGTCCCCTCGATAGACCTCAGACTCAGTAAAGTTCAACATTGGGCTCTTTTCAACAGCTTTTTTTGTGGAAACTTTACATCTGGATTTTTTTAGAAGCATCTGATTTTGCCACTGATGGTCGATTCCACCCACCACCACCCGATTCCGCTGTCTTTCCCTTCTCATGATACCGATGGAAGACAATGGACGGCCCACCTGCGATGTTTTTCTTGATGGTGTAGTGAAGGTCTTTGTTGGCTTCGTCGAAGAGCGTGAAGAAGACCTCTCTCGGCATTGTCAGAAAAAGATATTGAAGGGACAGACCAGGAACTGAGATTGCAGACTTCAGCATATTCATATTTCTCTCCTTGTAAAAAGAAAACATCTTCTCGACAGCCTGGACAAATGGAACAACATCCAGGTTATTGTACCATACGAGAAAGTTACGCACGGTTGACATGCCAAGATCCCGCCATACACGTTGACAGTACTCGTAATCAGCCACTGTAATATTGCTGCCATTAAGTCGACTGTAGAAGGCCTCGTGGGGAGTAAGTGCCGGATGATTAAGTTTGGTTAAATCATCCAACCACTCGTAAGGAAAGAAACCTTTAGTTTGGGGACAGTCATACGCCTTCAGAAATTTGGCGTAACTGTACCCCGGAGCCAAATAGTTTGTGATGTCCAGAAACTTCAGGCTTGAGGTGGAGAGGGCCATATACGAACCAGTCCTTCGAATCACAAAGTTCAGCGAGGAAAAAGCCTCCAATGCGGTGTACAGATATTTCTTGACGACGTTGATATCATACCGCCCTGAATTAAAGCCCAACACCGGCAACTCTTGCAGATACTCCTCGAGCTTCTTCTTAGCGCTTTCTAGTTTGTGTGCCTTGTCCTTTCCCGGTGCTCGGTCCTTATTGCGTTCGATTATCTCATCTATCCGCTCAAAGACGGATTCAAACTGCTCCATGAGAATGGCGTACGAGGTTTCGCTGATGGCTTGTAAATACTCCACCATGTTATTGACTAATTCTGCAGAGTTGCCGCCGGTGACAAAACATCGCGGCTCCTCGTAGCCCGGCACGTTGCTGGAAACGCTGACGCTCAGCAGCTCGTGGACGTTGGTCAGGGTCAAGGAAGCCTTCTGCGCCGGTTGGTAGGTACGTGGAAAATAACATTCGAAATCGTACGTGGCCCAATATGGAAAATAATATAGGTTTCTGTCCACATCTACGCCTCCATCGTTGAGTGTATCAAAGATGGAAGCTGGGAGCTGGAAACTTCCTCCCGGGAAGCGATGCTTGACGTTAACGTCGCATGTTGGAAGATGCCTCACCAGATTAGATGATTTGCGAAATGCACGCCGGCACTTGGAACAGGTATACGTGCCACTGTACCGGTCCATGTTGTTAATGAAAGAGAAATGTCTCTCGTATAAATTGATATTCATTGTTTCTTGATAACGGCGCTGAGACCGCCTCGTTAACAGTGCAGAAACTTGGGTCTGGTTTTCCTCCGTTTCATCGTTTTCATCTCTGGCGACTTTTACTTGGGTTAGTTCATATACCTGAACGTTTACCTCGAACATTGTCTCTAGGGTGGGCAGATCATCGAGCGTCACTCCGTCCGTAGCGTCTTTACCCGTACGCTGTTCGTACATTTCAACCAGGGCGCGGGCTGGTCTTTCCAGATGTCTTTCACTGGCGCCGCGATGGGGCCAGACAGCGGAAAAAGCAGTAGTTGTCGCTGTAAGCTCCACCGGTGTGTCGATTTTTGATAAGACCCAAGTCACCCAACACACCCTGGTTGTTGGCGATGTACGGAGGAAGCCGCTGAGGAGGAGTGCCGATGTACATTCCCGGTTGCTTGTTGACGAAGACAGTCATGTTCGTCACTGCAGCCACTATCCATTTTGTGTCAGGTCTTTGTAAACGGCCACATTCATAAATATCGGCCTCTTTGACCTTTTCTATAAAGTGTTCAATGTCTGCCTCTGACATGATGGAGGCGGGGGAATCAAAGAATCTGGCGTTGTTGTGACTAGGGTGGAAATACCGATATTCGCCCGTCTCTACATTACTCAACACAAGTCCAAAGGAAATGTTTACCTTGGCGCGATAGGTTAAACTTCGAAAGATGGCACGAAGGGCATGATCCAAGGGGACACCGGGAAGGGATGGGCGTGCTTCTTCGGACGTCAGGCTTCCCATCCTAAAGTTGTAAACGTCTTGCACGGCACGATTCCGAAGGTGTAGAGTTCTGATGTTTCCCCACATCCTCCTGTACAGTAGCTGTACGTTGTTATCGTCTGCCTCGACAGCATATCCCTCTGGGAAATGCAGTGGATCGTCACTCAATGGTGGTACTGGGCCGGGCTGTTGTTGATGAGACGGGCCGGGCTGTTCGTGGTGAGACGGACCGGGTCGTTGTCCATTGGAGGGGCCGGCTCGTTGTCCAGTGGAGGGGCCGGGTTGTTCATGGTGATCAGACGGGCCTGCTCGTGGTCCGTTGGAAGGGCCGGCTCGTTGTCCGTTGGAGGGGCCGGGTTGTTCATGGTGAGACGGACCGGGTCGTTGCTGATGAGAGGGATCAAGCTGTTGTTGGTGACGGGCTTTTAGGTGGCGTTTCATGTTGTCCTTTCTCGTGAAAGTTTTGTAGCATTTGGGGCATTTTATCTTGGCTGAATCATCACGTGGAGTTGGTTTTAGCGGTTGCGGAGGGGCGACCGATGTACCTTCAGTGGGCTGAGCAACAAGTTCGTCGGGTCTGGCAACATTTCGATGTAATCTTGAGTGCCGTCTCAAGGAATCCATCCGGCTGAACGTTTTCCCACAGGTTGCGCACGAATATAGACTGGTCTTGTGCTTGGTAGCGACGTGCCTCTCCAGGATGTCTCTCCGGGCGAAGAACTTGTCACACACCGTACAATTCGAGGATTGATCTTTCCCGCTGACGGGGTCTGCCTGACCTCCACCAACCTGCGATGGATCCTGATTAGTAAACAAAAAAAAAAGAAACAAATACAACCATGAGTATATGTTACCAGATGATGTTAATAACATTAAAATAATAATAATAATAAAATAAATACAAATAAAATAAACAAATAAATAAAAATTAAATAAGTAAATAAAATTAAATAAAGATTAACAAACAATATCACAAATAATTTAGACTTTTTCTATCTGAATATATGTACAGTGAAATATGTACACAAAGTAAGAGAATACATAACAAACGCTTATATTTAAAGAGAAGCAAATTATTTACCTGTTTGATGTCTTGTTGATCTTCCATTTCTTCTAAACATCTGACGAACTCCGGGCTTGGAGATGTCGTTGTTTTTGACAGAAAACGGCTTTTCTTTCCTTGCAGTTGAGGAGGGGTTTCAGGTATGATGGGAATGTCCGAGTCGCCGGTGGGATATGCGACCCTCGCTCCTTGGTCTCCCTCTCCCTGCAAATGTGGAGGGGTATCGGGGACGAACACGGTCGAAGGGCTGGGTGAAGACATTGCGTGTCCTCGTTGCTGGTGAGGCGGGGTCATGGATAAGAACCGTCCAACTGCGGCATGAATCTGACATATAATCATAAATCACAAATCAGTCTCGAAATTTACGATTCATTAGATTGTTCAACACTTTAACAGCATTTCAACAAGATATGTTTAATAAATCATGCTCGGAAAAATGTGTTATTTCGATGCGTGTATACAATTAGACAAAACCATTACAATGACTGTTTCACTCAACTTAAATTGCATATGTACTTACCGGTTGGTTAGCTTCGTTTTCAATGCGTTCAATCTCACGCAACTGATTTTCGTCAGGATCGGGGGAACTCCAGAAAGAGCAGCCGGGTTGATCGTTAAAATACTCATCGGCCGTACGCTGCAGAGACTCCAGATCGCTGTCTGTCAAGTCCCACTCCTCCCACTCGGGGCTACTGGTGTCCTTCGAAATATTTACGGCAAGGTCACGACAAGATTAGACTATTAACTATATCGGATAACGGTCTACGGTGTAAGGCACGCCAGAGCGGAATTTATTCAACCCTGCGCGGCAACTGCCAACATTATGAAATACATCACAACTTTTTTGAAAAGTATGTCAACATTGTAAAATATATGTCAACATTTTAAAACAGTATGTCAACATTTTAAAACAGTATGTCAACATTTTAAAAAATATGTCAACATTGTAAACAATATGTCAACATTTCAAAAACGTATGTCAACATTTAAAAAATATATGTCAACATTTCAAAAACGTATGTCAACAGTTTAAAAAATATATGTCAACATTTCAAAAACGTATGTCAACATTTAAAAAATATATGTCAACATTTAAAAAAATATATGTCAACATTTCAAAAACTTATGTCAACATTTAAAAAATATATGTCAACATTTTAAAAAAATATGTCAACATTGTAAACAATATGTCAACACGGGATTATATCGGTCGTGTCTTCAAGGCTGTACGGATGAATGCTCTCGCAGGGTATAACGGTGCACAGTGATGGGTCGCAGTCGACTTTTATCGATTGGTCTTCCGGAGGTTCGGTGTGGTGGTCAGCTCAAGCGGCTGTATGCCTAAAACTCTCCACCTCTTCGCCTTATAAAGGTTCTCAACAAAAGGAAAAGTTTTGTTTGTTTGCCTGTCGACTGGGAGACGATCAACCTATTTGTTTGTTTTGTTGACTCGGGAACAAAACAAACATTGCGGCACTATGGCTACAAAATTTGCGATGTTGTTACGACTACCAACACAAACTACATCATCTGTCAGACAGTCAACTTCGCAGTCTTAACTTAATGTATTTCTGTTTCTCGCATTATTTAATTTACTTAATTTGTTTCTTTCCCTTTTCATGATTGTTCCGTCTAGATTTGCATTATACCTCCGTTACAACAGTATAATTAAGATCTTTGCACCGCATTTCTTGAATGAACTTTAAGAGAGAGATAAACACCAATAAACACCAAATGAAATGGTACAGACATTTTAGACTTTCATGTCCCAAGAACAAGCTAAAACGCAAACAACAAACAAACAAAATATATCACGACACAGAAAGGTAGTTATTCATGTCCAAAGACCAAACGCAGTGCAAACAACATACATACAAACAACATTGCAAACTTATGCAGGAGGCTGGACCCAGGAGGCTGGACCCCGGCTAGCCCTTTCCACTGCACAATAGCTCTCCGCTTACTAACCGCAGACGGTGTAAGAGGAACAATCGATTTTCAATGACCGGTCCCGCTACTCGGACGAGCCATTTATTGATTTTTCACCATACGGTACACCGTGCATATCACTGCCGAGTCAAGTTTTTTGGCAACCCAAATTTACTCCGCCACAAATTCCTCCCATTTCACTCATTTTTACCTCTCGCCACCGCCACATTCGCCACAAAAATGAGGCGAATAGGGGCGGATTAGGCTCCTCCCATGCTACTTACATCGATTTAAAAACAGTCGTCTTCACCCTTCTTTTGGAAGAATTACTGAACAAAATTACACTTGAATGAGGAGGGTAGGGTAGGAATGGGCACGCCCCCAAGTCGTCCAAGAGTAGTACGGAAATGCACGCTCTGATGCGGCGAGAAGCAAACTTGAAGTGTTATTCATTATTTTTTTAAAAGCAGTATATTTGGCACTTTTCCTCCCTGCCAGTGGCCCTTGCCTAACTTCCAAAAAGTTGCTCAGATGTTGAATTTATGTGATATGCATTTCTCACCACCTCTCTGTCTAACTTAACGGAAATTTCGCGTATGCGAAATAAAGGTCAGGCCATATAATTGCAAAAAGTTGTTTTACTGATCGCCCAAATTCTACCCCTAAAATCAAAGGAAAGACAATTCCATCGATACTGTGTGGAAGAACATTAACCGTAGTTGAGCCTAAAACCAATAAACCGTCAAGGACGCCTCGTACGCTTCGTTTTTCGAGTGTCGGACTTATGAGGCGTCGGACCTATGAGGCGGAATAAATAAATGTTTTGCCTCATAAGTCCGACGCTTCACAAGTCCGAAATTTCGGACTTATGAGGCGTCGGACCTATGAGGCATCGGCCTACGGACTTCTGATACGGCCCCGTACACAGTCAAATGCCTTGGAATAGTCAATAGTAAAAGCATAGGAACGGGGGTTGTCGAAATTCCTGATTTTCCCCATTATATTCCTCAAATGTCCTTTCTGATTTTTGTCCCTCTTCCTTTCCTACATCCAGCTTGTTCTGATGGTAACTCAGTATAATTATAAGAAAAATGGAAAAGGGGAAGAGATTTGTTTCAGTTGGAGTGCACGTAAATTCAAATTTAACGTCACGGTGAAAAATACTTAATGTACGTTGGAGACAAAACATACATTAAATCCATTACTTGCTATTGATGTATCAAATCAGGATACAAGAAGCAAGTTTCCCCCGGGGTTTGATATTGGATACGTAGTTGAAAATAAAGTAACATAGGCCGGGGAAGAGGTTGATCAACTTCGCCATTGTATCACTCGATGATGTAGGTTCGGGTTTTTTCTAGTTCTAAAAGGCTTCGATTTTTGCAAATGGCAGAGATTTACCAAAAGAGTCAGGCGATGAATGTTACCCTTAATTATTTTACCCTTAATTAATTATTTATGCGAATATCCATTGTGTATTATGTACTCTTAATTAATGAACCATGATAATAATGTAATTTGTCACGATTTCAAAAGGCCATGCAGGCCTATACGTCCTAACAACTGAGCGCGCTGCTGCTGTGAGATCACTTCAGGTAAAATACTTAACAGTTTTAAACTGAATCCAAAATGTGACAAATAATTATGGTTGTGCCTAAAGATAGTTCATTGACGTGTCGGATACTAAATCAATAAAGAGGTCAATACGAAGGATTGACAACAAACTGTACCGAAATATCAGGCTATCAAGTTCAAATGCTAAAGAAGCTGTAACACTGTGTATATATATTCTACCTACGATTACTTATTTTGCTTATGTAAATTCACATATATGCCAAAAAGACAAACAATTTAGCGTAGACTAGACGCCGCTAATTAGGTCTTATTTGTAAAGATCAAGAACAGGCTTCCAGTGTTCACTGCATCAAATAAGACGCACTCAATAAAATAGCTATATAAAATTGGGTGCCCCTTCACTGTAACATCCAGCCCCCCCCCCTCCCAGGATGAGAAACCTGGCTGCCCAATGTAAAATTCACGTGCACATGAACCAATGTGTCGGTAAAGTTGGCCACCATTGAACTCTTCATGCAGGATCCGACTCATCATGACCGTAATACATTGGACAAACCTTGCCAACATACTGAGAAAATCCCCTTTTCACCTTGGCCGGGGTCAAATTTTACCGAGCTTGAATAGGTCACAAGTGATAGTTTTTAAGAGACATCAATTTTATGGAAAGGTATTACATTTCCATCTATTAAAAGATATTGGATTGAATATTCTGTTTTCCCTTCACCGGTCGACTATTTTATAAACAGTGTATACTTGTTGTCCCGAGTGATTGGGAGGAAAAATCAAGACAAACTACTCGGGGGGGGGGGGGGGGGGAACTCCATCCAACGGCCTCCTGCCTACCAGCGCAGACGTCTTATTACCACTCAACTACAAGCTTGCAGGGGTAGACTGACCGGTTCGAGCCTGATATAGCAGCGGGTACCGCAACCAAACTATTTATAAGATGGAGTTTGCGGCTGCACTAGTAAAGGCGAGGTTGTGGGTTCGAGTCCCACCCCAGTAGTTTGTGAATTTTGTTCTGACAATCTCTCAGGACAACACTGAGTATGAAATATGTCTGTGAAGAGCAACATCCAATATTGAATTTTCATCACCCCGACGTAAATTCCATCTCATGAATAGTTAATACATTGGCTTTTGAAAGTTCAAAGTTGATAAATTCCCCATGCACAAATATCTCCCGAGTGTCAGTGACTGTCCTTACAACAAAACAATATCAAACATGAAACAGTCATCAGTTACAGCTATGGATAACACCTGCGGCAGTTGGGTTTATTTGAACATTATCATGTTGGAAGCTTTTATTTCAAAAAATCGATGTTTGACATACAAAACCTAGGTCCAGACCTGAAATTGTTTTTACTTTTCTTGCACAGATTGAGGCATGATAATCTCAAAAGTACACAGCAGTGTTCAATAAATCTCTAGCAAAAACAATACACAAAAAACCCAGATTATAAACATGTAAATGCAGATTAAGGAAATAAAACCTTGTAAACCTGTGTTTAGTGCTAATCAAATGAGATGTACCACGTCGGTTAAAGCATGTTCGGGATTCAAGTTGTCGACCTCCCCGTGGTGAATCCTGTCAACTGGCGCAAGTCAGGCGAACGACAACTACCAGAGTTAGTAGAACTTACATCAATCAACTTCTTACCACTCGTCTACACTCGTCTACACGATGGATCGTCAGCCACAACAGACTAGAACCAACCCGCAGCACGTGCCCTCATCAGGGCAGGCACCTGCGGATGCCGTACGGGCTGGTATCTCCCTGCTGCAGCTGAATGTAGAGGGCCTAACCAAGGCCAAAATCACCATCATTGAACATTTGATGCAGACCAACAAAGTCAGTGTTGTCCTGTTGCAAGAGACCCATATGAGCGACAGCGCTCGTCTTAAGATCCCTGGATATACCTTAGCAGCTTACACTGAAAGCGACATCCATGGGATCGCCACTTTTGTGCGGAACTCGGCCAAGTGGAAAGCAGTAGCAGCCTCTGCCTCCGATTCTGACCTGGAATGGACAGCAACTCAGGTGGAAGGTGTGACTGTAATTAACGTCTACAAGCCACCCCGAACCAGACTACTAGTAGACTCCATCCCAACATTTGATCAGCCCTGCATGTACGCTGGAGATTTCAACTGCCAGAGCACGACGTGGGGTTACCGCACGACTACCCTAGATGGTTCTGCTCTCGAAGACTGGGCCTCAGCCTCTGGTGTCCACCTTCTGTATGACTCGAAAGAGCCCGACAGCTTTCGCTCTGGTCGATGGAACACAACATCTAACCCTGACCTAGCCTTTGTCAACCTGAATGGTCCGTCCCCACACCGTTCAGT